TTTTTTTTTTACCGTCAACTCAGGAGGCAAGGTGGTAGTTCTTTTTCACACCCTTCGCGTTACTTACCTTCGTGGAGGCCTCTGCTGGGAATTTGAGTTTAGCTGCCGTCGCTCCACTGCCATATTTCATCTGAAAATAAATCAATCCAAACGTTGAACATAACAGTGACATGTAAATCAGTTTAAGCGCTCACGCAGAATGAAGTGGCCGCGCCAAAACATCCACGATCCAATCCAATATCCAAGCTTGAAAATCCAAACTGGACGAAAGTCAAAATGCTGCAAATCGAGTCGAGTTTCGAGAGTCAAATTGAGTTTAAGATGAACAAATGATGGAATGAAATGAAGCAATTCTTTTCTCCACTGCGAAATTGGCTCACATTAGCAAAGCTTGAACTTCAACTTTGGCATTCAGAAACGCAGAAAATCAAATGGTGACACTTAAATCCAAGTTGAAGAAAGTGTTGCAAATAAAATTAGAAATTTCAGAGATTCAGGCTTTGCAACAATTTAATAATGCACTTGTTTTATTGGCATTGTAAGCTAGTAATGTGACATGTCTATAAAAAGAAAGGTCTAAGTAGAAAATTAGCAAAGCTAATGTAGTCCAATCTAATTTGGTTGGAGGTCAAATTATACAACCTACACTTTGTGAAGTTAGTTGTGGGCAAGCATAGAGTTCCACCTTCATCTACTGGATGCAACATATCACAATCACATCATTAAATTGGTGTTTAACATACCAGATCATGTTAGCCCTGTATTTATGGTCCAGTGTGTAACATTTAGGAGGCTCTATTGTTAGAAATTCGTATGTTTTCATTAGTGTGTAATCACCTGAATAAAGGAATCGTTTTGTTTTCATCTACAGACACCACGGGTCGCTTTGGAGGAGCCCACCGTGTTGAACCACCATGTTTCTACAGTAGCCCTGAATGGACCAACCAACGGACAGCAGTGGTTATAAACTGCAGCTTGGAAAAGATAATCGAGTCCATATGTATGAAACAATACTCGCGCTTTCCAGTAGCTGCAACGTCTCTGGGCACCAGTCCAGATAAGTATGGACGTGATGGCACTCAGACGCACGTCATTTTTAAATAAGATAATGATTATCTAGTCTCTCAGCCAAGGGTTAGCTATGGACTGACATTGACTATTGATTAAATATTGAATTTAAAAGTTGATTAACTGGGCATTCTGCATTATGCCTGATGCAGATATTAAGACTTAAAGCTGCAGCCAGAGCCTATAGGTTTATATTTACATTGTATAGACACAGGACTGGACTAATTACCAGGCAGCAGAGCCAGATCTCAGTTTTTAGTTATTATTATTATTATTATTATTATTTATATTTTCTACAATTTTAATGTTAATATTCACATATATAAAAATATTCTATTGAATAAATATTATTTGTTTATACCTCATTCTGTTTGGAGGGCCATCTAGCAGAATTTTGCTTAGGGCCCCAAGGAGGTCAGGACCAGCTCTAGGCTGCAGGCCACCGTAGTTTCTCCTTCACACTTCACAGCCTGGTTTTCATTCCCAGGTCTTCAAATACAGCAGTATTCAGTTTGTTGCAATCTGACACTTCACCGCTAGATGCCACTAAATCCTACACACTGGTCCTTTAACTAAATGAATAAAGGAAATCTATAGCTTTCAAAAAAAACCTTGGTAAAGTGTTCATCCTTAAAATAGAACAATGGATAATTTCTCTTTGTTGGTGTTTTAAAACCACAAAAAAGGATTATCTTCAGGATTAACACCATCATGCCCAATCTAGGCATGTCCCGATACCATGAATTCAGTAGTCGATACCAATACCAGTGAAATTTCACGATTATCTATACCAATTAAATACCAGGGTACATTTTTTTTTTTTGCCCCCAATCCCCATTTAATATCCGCTGATACTGAATCCAATTACTTGTATTTTCATTAATACAGGTGAATAGCTCTGCATAGCATTAAGGAAAAAAAACTGCAGCCTGCAAAAAAACTGTTCCTTAATGTTATACATCTATATATTTCATACTAAATAACTAATAATCTAACAAAGTCTATTTTGTAGCTATCCGGAGGAAATTTCTCTCTCCCTTTAAAAAGTGTCCTGCAGAGTTTGTTGCTTCAGTGCAGCCGTTACCCGAGTTACGTGAATGAACGGTATTCTGCTGAGCGCAGCGGAGCACTGTGCACGAACGTTTTGTTAGTAAATCACCTGTACAGCTGCGCTTGCTGCCGTCTTCAAGATGTTCTTCTTGTGGCATTTAACGGCGGACTACAGTATTTATAGGAATATATGCTGCAAACTCAGGTCAGCAAGAATTGCATCCTTGGTACCTTCAGTACTGTAGAAAAATGAGTACCGTCACGTTTTCAGAATTTTGGTATCTACTTGGTACCGAAGTATCGGTTATCGTGACATGCCTAGCCCAATCAACATTTTCCACAGAAAAAAGAAAAACTGAAGTATGTTACGTTGTTCGTTGTGCACCAATAACAATCTATCCTCTTTAGCCACACAC